GGGATGCAGAAGCTAACACTAAAAAACACTCTCAGCTAAGCTATACACCTTATCACACGTTTCCAAGCATTACTAAGGTCCTATTCTAGAATCACAAACTGTGGGTCATTTTGAAGTACATCTCATCACTTCAACCCATTCTCAATCTTTCTTTCTCTTTTGCTTCTTTTCCTCTCTCCTCTCTGTTTTTTTCCCTCTCTCTTTTGCATCGTGCCCCAACCTTGGATGGGTTTTATTGTGTGGCTCTGGGTGGCCCAGATCTTGCTATGTAGAAGAGGCTAGCCTCAAACTTGTATGGAAAGGTCTCCTCCCTCGGCTTCCCAAGTCCTAGGAGTGCAAGCATGGGCCACTGCTCCTGGCTTTGTGGGCTTGTTTGTTCATTGTGATGGGCTCTCACTCCGTATAGGCCAGGCTGGCCTCAAACCCAAGGTGATCCTCCTGCCTCAGTCTCCCAAGTGCCACTAGCAAGTTCTGGAAGCTCTTTCCTTGAGCTGCTTCCTCCGTCCCTCCACCTCTCACGGCTCCACTGTCATCGGGAGAGAGGGACGCCACTGTCATCTCAGCCTGGTGTCTGTGGTAACCTGTTAATTGGGCTTCCGGCCTTTAGGCTCTCGCTAGTCTACAGGTCACCAAGTTTTATTGTGAAAAGAGCCAAGAAGTAAGTATTTTAGGCTTTAAGACCACATAATCTCTGATCCAGGTACCCACCTTGGGTAACGCAGTGTGAAAACAACAAAAGATAATTTGTATGTAAGTGAGCAAGGCTCATTTATTTTTGAACACTAAAATTTGAATTTCATGTGGAATATTCTTTTGAGTTTTATTTTCCAATCATCTAAAAAATAAAACAAGTTAAACGCACTCTTTGGCCTGTGGGCCATACCGGCCGTTATTTGCTGACTCTTCAGTGCCCTCCTTGTCCAGCCTCCAAAAGGACCCGTGAGCCAACTCCTCTCTCACATCGCTCCTGGGCCTCCTCCTGCCTGGGAAGAGACTCACAAAGCCTGTCAGCCGTCTGTGGGTGTCGTGGCCTTTCCCCATCCCAGTCACCATGCCTTACTCTTTCTACTTTCTTCCCAGAAGGTCAAGGTCCCTTTTCAGGGTCTGTGCATGCATCAGTCACCAGGCCTTTCCCCGGACTGCTCTTGGACACGTACTCTCTTCAGCTGGCTGTTATTTGACAAACATGTCTTTGGAGAAGAGAAGCCTATGCTTCTAGAGTCTTTCCCCACACTCTCCTAATGGGAATTATGCTCCATCTGTTATTAACACACAGCACCCATTTTTTTCAGCCCCAGGAATTACTTGTGCTAAACACACATTCTCGCACCACTGAGCTACACTCCCCGCCCTGCACTCTCTCCCCCTCACCCACTGAAAATGTTTACCCCAACCAGTAATTATGTATTATTTTATTCTACTGGAAAATCTCAGGAAGCCACGAGCCTTGTCTGCCTTCTTCAAGTTGAAGGCCGAGCACCAGAAGCTATTGGCCCATTGTGGGTGTTCCCAGAAAATGTGCTAAATGAAAGAACCATCAACTATCATTCCTGAGCCGACTTTCTCTGCGGAAGCCTCCCTGACATACCCAGCTGGAAGCTGAAGATGCTGTGGCAGCTCCCTGGGCACCCCCTGCTTGCCTGTGGTTCTTCCCAAAGATTCAGCCCTGGGCAAGTTCCTGCACTTGGAAAGCGCTTTGTGCTCAGCAGCCTGCTTTGCATTTCCTCTCCGGTGCCCTTCCTCTGCTGTTCTTCTCATGAATCAGCCTCCCCTAATGAGGGTGACCCCTCACAGTAACTCCGACCAGTTTTTCCACCTGGCGTTGCCTGAGATCTTAAAGACGGAGCTGTTAAGTCAGGATACATTACTCAGGTGCCTTTCAGGAATGCTGGGGCAATGTCCAGAGGCTGATAGAAACTGGAGAAGCAGGGCAGTCCTGCCTGCAGTGCCCTGAGAGCTGTGTTTCACCCGCCACAGGGCAACTCCCTCCCTCGAGAGTTGTTTTGAAAGGATAAATCTGGGCTGGGATGTAGCTCACTGGGGTGTTTAGTGTGTGTAAAGCCCTGGGTTCCATCCCCCCCAAAAGAGAAAACAAAAGGACATGCCTGACATGGAGATGTACCCCTCTAGTCCTAATTCCTCAGAAAGCCGAGGCAGGAGACTTGTTTGAGTCCAGGAGTTTGAGACTAGCCTTGGTAACATAGAATGACCCACCTCCGATCTAAAGAAAATAATTAAATTCAATTCTTTGGATACACTAGCCATGATCCAAGTGCTTAGATGCCGTATGTGGCTGTTGGTTACCAATTGGACAGCACAGCTGTAGGACCTTTCTACGACTGCACACAATTCTATTGGACATCAGTGGGTTTTTTTTTTGTTGTTGTTGTTATTGTTTGTTTGTTTGTTTTATCAAGACAGGGTTTCTCTGTGTTATAGCTCTGGCTGTCTTGAAACTCACTTTGTAGACCAGGCTGGCCTCGAACTCATAGAGATCCACCTGCCCCTGCCTCCTGAGCGCTGGGATTAAAAGCGTGCATCACCACCGCCTGGCTGGACATCAATGTTTTAGACCCAAACCCTACTCACCATCCCTCACCAGTTTTCAGAATTTAGCTAGGCTTGGTGGCACTGTGATTTGGGAGGTGGAGGCCGGTGTCAGCTGTCTTGCCAGCTTTCAAAGGCAGCCTGAGCTATGAAACCCTGTCTCATAAAACAAACAAAATTGCAGAATTTACACAATAAGTACATTAATTTCTTCCCAGTGCTGGGAATTAACCACAAGTCTCTGTATGCTGAGGAAGCCACACTTCAACCTCTCACTATAAGTCCTCTACCATGTCAGTTTGAGACTTCTTTCCCAGCTTTAGCTTCCAAAACCAGCCTGGTGTGTTTCCTCTCTGAGTAGTGTTCTGCACTTTCCTTTCCATTAACAGGGTCTTGGAGGTCTTCACATGAGAATATGTGTGTGTCTCTGGTCTAGGTGGAACTCAAGAACAGAGCATTTGCTTAGCACAAACAAGGTTCTGAATTTGACCTTCAGCACTGCAAAGAAAATGTTTGATTAAAAAAAATATGGCACACACCTTTAATCCCAGCACTCGGGAGGCAGAGGCAGGCGGATCACTGTGAGTTCAAGGCCAGCCAGGTCTACAAAGTGAGTTCCAGGAAAGGCGCAAAACTACACAGAGAAACCCTGTCTCAAAAAAAAACAAATAAATATAAATAAATAAATAAATAAATTTAAAAATATGTTTTCTTTGCCGGGTGGTGTGGCACACTCCTTTAATTCCCGTACTCAGGAGGCAGAGGCAAGTGGATCTCTGTGAGTTTGCGGCCAGCCTTGTCTACAAAGTGAGTTTCAGGACAGCCAGGGCTACACAGAGAAACCCGTCTCCAACAAAACTGAAACAAAACAAAAAGTGTGTTTTCTTTGTTCTGGAATTGTTGTAGAGTAATCCATAGTTTTAGTTACTCATCAATTTCCCTCCTGGTGGACATTTGCATCTCATTTTCTTGGATTTCCAATGGCACTGTATGCAAACACCCTGACATGTCTGTCTATTTGTACACATTGGTCTATGGCAGATACCAACAAGCAGAATTGTTGGGTCAGAAAATCACACACCACTAACACTGGGGCTTGCCTGGCACACCCAATTGCTCCCACCTAGAATGCCTCTCTACATGACTAATTCCTACTCATCAAATTCAAGTGTCATGCCTTTGTGGAAAGTGGTCCTTCCTGCCTGTTTCTCATGGCACTTTCTAGCCACATCTCATCATCATTGTCGTAAACGTAAGGCTCATCCTTATTTCTCTCTCTATTCCCAAATCTAGCATAGCGTTTGGCATAAAGCAAGAATCCAAATGTTTCCTTGGCTGAATAAACAAAAAAACAAACAAATGAAGGCACGGTGGTTAGGACATTCCAGAAACCCAAGGTGAGTCTGTGACTGCCCTAAAAGCTGGCTGTGGATCAACCTGCCACCTGATACTCTGAGCCAAGCTGCTTCTCACTAGGTTTCTGTCTTTGGCCCTCTGGGCCTGGGCATCCCATCTTGAACTGTTCAGACTCGGGAAGGACACTGAGGGAGCAGTGTGGAATGTAATTAACGGCTCTGGCCATAGGGCACAGGGGTCTGACACCTGGGCTGGTGGTAGCTGGGAAGTGGGTTTCTGAGCACATGTCTGTTTCCTTTCACCTACAGCCCAGTATGTTCTGTCCTTTGTCCCCTCCCAGCACCTTAGGGACAATTAAGATCAGCTGCAACATTTCTGCTTTCCGATTCCAGATTTGAACCCAAGGGAAGCCAGATGTTTTCCAGCGCACATCCACCTCTCCCCGTGATCCGATGAGCAGCCTGGTTTCCTGACTCCCTAGCCTGACTTCCGTACATCACAGAGCCTGGCTGCCAACTTTATTTTTAATGAGGTTTTAATGGGCTGTTTCTGTAATTAATTTCATTCTTGTATTATTTTCACACTTTCTGTCTAGATGCCTAAATGCCCCCAGGCGCCCGGTGGGATGTTAACTGATTCTAAGTAATGCACAACCCTATGACTGTGATTAGACATTTCCCAAGCCTCTCTCATTTGCAGTTATTTTACAATAATTAATTAGCTAGGGCACTCGGCCCAGTGGAAGGTCAGCCGGGTTACCTGTCGGGTTTTTATAGAGGCAGCAATAGATAAGGAGAAAAGATCTGTCCAAGCCTTTGAGAGAGTGAGTGTTAAAACTGGTTTCAGAAACCACATCCTCAGGTTTCAGATCTATACTACCTGAGATTTGCCACAGGAGGCCAGAGTCCTCAGGCCAAAGGTGGTAGTGTCTTTGTGACAACAGGCAACTAAGGGAGACAGTCCCTCGCTCTCAAGTCCAGCCGCTGGTGTCATCCTCAGCAACCCCCCACCCCACGCCCGCCCTTCCCATTTTGTGAGTGGACTCCACAGAGCAAGGAACGCGCCAATGATTCCTTCCGCATTTAGAAACAAGACGATTTTGCTATTTTTAAACTTGTCTTTTAAAAATCCGCGCGCATGGACTCACACTTCTGAGGGAGTGAAGGGGGCTGGGTGGGAAATGTACGTGCCGGAAAGAGAACAGCTAGGCCTGTTGCTTCCCAGAGAGTGCGCGGTCCCCTGGGGGCGGTCCCCTGGGCTCTCCAGCCCGGAGCGAATTGTGTCTCCAGGACCCGTTAGCACCAGAGACCCCGCTGGCCAGCGTTCCGTCTTGTCTCTTGGGCGCGGGACACCGCTGCTGGGTCACCAGTCTCCGGAGAGAGCAGGAGGGGTGGGGAAGCCAAGCAGGTGGCGATTAGGTCAGCTTCAGAACATTCTTGGACCGCTCCAGTGGATATAAATAACAGACCCACAGGCTCTGAAATCCCGAGAGGCTGGGGGTGGGGAAGTGAAGAAGAAGGGATCTATTTAGGGTGGGGTGGCATCGTGACGACTCGGGAAAAGTCTACATTGGACAAGGAGGTGAAGAGACCAAGTGATTTAGGGAGGAACTGAGGTACAAAATCTGGGACTATGAAGACGGAGGGGGTGGAGTTCGTGGCTTTTTTTGTTCCATCCCCACCCCGTGTTTGTCCCAGGTCTCAGAATGCGCGCTAGAGCTGCAAGCAGAGGTGGGCTAGGTAGGCACGGCTTTACAACCTCGCTTCTGCCGGACTAGAGATTATGTATGGGCAAACCGCTAAAGATCTCTTTAAGCCCCATTTTCTGACTTCAGAATTCTAAGGCTTACATGGAGAGGGTGGTTGCGAGCCTCCCCGGGGCTAACTTCTAAGAAAGGTGCTCTTAGCAAAGAATGTAATGCAGCATTGTTGTTCCCACATCCCAATGATGCGGGTGCAGGTTCCCGCTCACTCCCACCGGCCTCTCGGGCTCTGCAGAAGTCGAAGAGCGGCAAAGCTGAAATATAGCGATCTGCTAGCCTCGCAGCGCCACCTTAGACTGTTGGCTCCCACTCTGCACCGGGGAGCAGAGCCTCCCCCCCCCAAGAGCCACCCGGCGCCCGGATGCCAGCAGTCCCTGCAATGGGGATGCTGTCTGTGAGGTTGGGGCGGTGGCGGCGCGGAGAGGGCGGGCCCAGGGGGCCGGGCTTCCCGGGGGAGGGCTCGGCGCGCTCCAGGAGGCGGTGGCCCGAACCCGGGAGTGGTAAGACTCCGGACCGAGCGTGGCCAGATCCCCCCACCCACCGAGGGGCCCTGAGAGGACGCGGTGAGTGCCTTGGAAGGGACGCTGGGGGACGCGGCGGCAGTGCCGTGGCTCTAGCTCGCTCTGTGGTCCTCCGACTCCTGAAGTTGGCAATGGGACGGACTCCCGCGCAGGAGACCCCGGCCATTGGCTGCCACTGAGCGCAAGGCCATCTCATCTCCTACGCCAATGAGGCGATTCTTCAGGCCAGCCGGGAGTAATGGGGCGTCCAGCCTGGAGGAGCAAACCATCTCTTGGAGCTCCTAGAGGGTCCCAAACTGCTCTCCCTGCTCCCATACTGAAGCCGTAGAAGGGGCCTCTGTAGAAAGCCCGGATTCTTGCTCCCCCCGCCCCCCCACCTCGCTTCGCGCCCCCATCGAAGTCCACTGCTAGCCCTGGCAGGCAGCCCCCTTCCCTCCGCAGTAACTAGCTGGTCCCACCTCCCCACCGAGGCCAAGTTCAACAAGTTTGCCCAAGAAGCCCTGGAGCCTCCATGTCTAGGCCTGGCTATGCCCGTCTCCGTGGCTGGCTCCACCAGCTCGGAGTCGTTCAACACCGTGCCTTCTGGGATCGGGAGGCGGTTTGTCGAGTGGCGCTGTCTGTAAGGGTGGAGGCCAAAGACTGGCAGCCCCTGGGTTCCGAGATTCGGTGTGCAGGCTCGAGGTTAGGAGTGCGTCATTGAGAGCAGGCACCTCAGCCGGTAGGTCGGGTTTCCAAAAATGCCCCTTTGTTATTGCCCCTCCCTGGCCCTGCCTCCTCCCCCTCTCTGAGCGCCACCCCCTCCCCCAACCCTCCAAAAGGCTGTGCCAGTCTCGCGTCTACCTACCCCTCTCTGGGTCAGCAACCTACCCCTTTCTGCGCCTTCAGCCCTAGGTCTACAGGCTGACTAGGAGAGGCAGCTGGCGAAGCCCTTGGGCGCAGCCTGTGTGACTCAGGACACAGGACTGGGCAGGGCAGAGTGGCTTTGCTCTCTCTCCCAGGCCCATGTCCCCAGCTCCTGGAACAGGGTGGGGGCTAGCTTCTGTGTAGAGGAGGAGCGAGGCCTAAGCCTTTGGAGCTCAGGTCGGGAGAGTGGGCACTGTCCCGAAGCCCAAAACTCCCAGCTCAGCCCTGGCACCTGAGAAGAGACCCTGCCCTTGTCCCCGGCTGGAGAGGTGGAGGTCCTGGGCTGGAAAGATTTTAACTACCCGTTCTTGCTCTCCGAGCTCTTGCTGTGGTAGTGTGTTTACTCAGATTTGAGTCTCTGCTAATGTCAGGAGGCACAAGGTGCCAATCCTCAACAGGGACCAAGGTGCCAGGTCCACCCCCATAGCTAGATGAAGCCGGGGTGCCGGGGCTGGCTGTGCCTGGGGCTCCAGCTTGTGTTTGCTCTGTGAGGCCTGAAGGAGCTGTGCCAGCCCTACACACAGCCTGCTCTGTTCTGGGGCCGGGGAGAGGGGATGGGTGGGGGGCAGCTCTCCTGGGAGCCCGGAGCAGGGAGGCTGGAGTAGGCAGGGGCCCCAGGCCCCATCCCCATGGTTCACTGAGGCAGCTCCAAAGACCCAGTGATTTATGGCTGCTGCTCTTTCTTTTCCCATCTGGCTGGCAAGCCATATTAGACAAGGGGGCCAACTCAAAGGAAGCAAGGTGAAGAGCTAGTTAAGGTGGTGGTGGTGGTGGTGGTGGTGGTGGTGTGTGTGTGGGAGGAAGTTGCTCTGAATCCTGGGATCTTCTGTGCCCTATATGCTAATGGAGTCTGCAGGGAGAGGCCTGTCCCCCTCCAGCCCCGAGAGGGAACCTCTGGTCTCAAGCACGTTCTACCTCTGAGCTATGCTATGCCTCCAGCCCCATGTTGTCACTGGTTCCAGTGCCTGGGGGTAACTCAAACTGAAACTGCAGAAGTCTGTCAGTGACTGCAGACAGATCCCGTCCCAACCTATGGAATGGATGGTGGGACCAGGATCCCAGGGGTTAGGGGATCCCTGAGGAGTGATGAAGATGTCCCCATCTGAGTTTGAGAGTGAGTAGAGGTTTAGTAGTCGAGAGAGAGCACTGTGACAGAGTCCTGCTTTGGTTGCGGGAATCTCATTCTCTGCCCCCTTGACCCGACTGTCCCTCGGCCTTAGGCTCTCTCAGAGAAGAAAGCAGCTTCCTTCTATGGACTAAGAGTCGGTTGGTACTGGGAAGAGCTGAGACCTTGCCTGGAGTCAGGAGGCTACATGTCACTGTGTCATCTAGTCCCTGAGGGAGGGAGGGAGAGACTTGGGGTAAAAATTCACCTTGCCCCTCCTCCACAGTTCTTACGGGCTGTGTGACTTGCTAGCTGTTCACGAAGCCCCGCCCTGGGCTTTTTGAGGGCAGAATGGAATTGTTTGTCGTCTCAGGACCCTTTGAGACTTTCCTGGATGTTGTGTGGTGGTGGTAGGAGGCAGGTGAGTGTCTTTTTCTGACTGGTGGATCTTTCAAGTGTTTCTGTTCATTGCCTAGTTGGCGTTTTACATCAGCCGTAGCATGGACGCTCACCAGGTGGGGGAATTTCCACCTCAGAGTGAGCTGAGGCTCCCTTAGGACAGTACAACACAGTTGTCTGAAAACTTCCTGGTCATGACAGGGCCCAGGCCTCCTGGCTCTCTTTCCACCCCGCTCAGCACGGATAGTTGCTGGGCTTATGAGTTGGGTACCTGCTCAGTTGGACTGGTTTGTTCATGGGGTGGCCTTGTCATTCAAGGGGCCTTAGTTGGGCAGGAGTCCTCTTCTCATCCACAGTAGGAGTGTGGGGCTCTGACCACCACCCACCCCTGTCTGTCACCTAATCCCCTGCTGGACCGTGTGACCTGCCTGGCATCCTCAGCCTGGAATCTGGCACTTCTGACAGCAGTTGCTATATTGGGGGAGCTGGGCACCGCCCTGGACGCCAGAGGCTCCCAGCCCTTACCCGTTCTGCGCTCTTGTTACCTTCCAGGCAGAGTCACAGTGGCAGCTTGGAGGCTTGGACACGGGTCCTTGAAGTGATCTGGAGACCCCAGGTATGTAGAGGACGGGCTGAGAAAGGTAACCCAGAGGGGGCAGGGGACTTAGCGGCTGCCATCTTCGCCCCCATGCTGGCTCCTCCTGAGGACTTCTGGATCTTTGTTACTTGGCCCTTGCTCTGATGGTTCCTGGGGGGTGGGGTGGCCGTGGACAAAGCTTTGGACTATTAGAAGGCCGTTTCCCAGTCCCCAACCTGCAGGTCTCGCTTCTCCGCTTATTTTACTTGCTCTCCACAGCACCACATCTGCCACCATTCCGTGCTGCAGGGACACCATGGCTCCAGAAGAGGACGCTGGAGGGGAGGTCTTAGGAGGCAGTTTCTGGGAGGTAGGCAGCTGGGGACTGGGTTTGGAGTGGCAGTCAACTGTCCCTCTCTCTATGGGCTCAGCTACCTGTGGGGGAGGAGTCTAACTATCAGCCCAGCAAGAGAGGGGGGTTCTCCCTGATAAAACCATCCCTCCTATGTGCCCCAGGCTGGCAACTACAGACGGACGGTGCAGCGGGTTGAGGATGGGCACAGGCTGTGTGGGGATCTGGTTAGCTGCTTCCAGGAACGTGCCCGCATCGAGAAAGCCTATGCCCAGCAGCTGGCCGACTGGGCCCGCAAGTGGAGGGGCGCTGTCGAGAAGGGTGAGCCAGTGCGCAGGCCTAGCAAACAGCACAGACTGTAAGGGTGGGACCCCCCCCAGGACAGCTTCTGCTTCTTGAGGTTTTGTGAGTGCTAGGGATGGAATGGAAGACCCTCAAGCATGCATGGCAAGAGGGATCTATATCCTTTCTCCTCCACCTGTTTCCTAGAGCACAAATGAAATCAGAGAAGGGACTTGTCTGAAGCCACTCGGCTAGAAAGAGCTAAGTGTGGAGTGCAGGTGGACTGGGGAGAAAGATCCCAGGCACACCGAGTTTGCGCATAGACTTGGGGTTCCTCTTGGCCTAATTCATAGATGGGGTGCTTTGGACAAGTTAACCTGACTTCTCCAGGTTTCGGTTGTTTTGGTTTGGTTTTGCCTGTTCCGTGTTGGCAATGGCACTGTCCCCATGGTGGTGGTGGAGGCAAGGATTCATGAGATCGCTCCGTCAGCACCTGATAGTGCTGCTCTTCAGCTTTGTACCCCGACTCCTACCATGCCTCTGTCTGGCACCCAGAGCAGGACGCAGGGAGAGGGCTTGATTGTATTTAAGATAGCACCCCACCTGGCCCGAGCTCATCCCTCTGCAGGCCCACAGTATGGCACTCTGGAGAAGGCCTGGCATGCCTTCTTCACCGCGGCTGAGCGCCTGAGCGAGCTGCACTTGGAGGTGAGGGAGAAGCTGCACGGGCCGGACAGCGAGCGTGTGCGGACCTGGCAGCGAGGGGCTTTTCACCGGCCAGTGCTGGGTGGCTTTCGGGAGAGCCGGGCTGCAGAGGATGGTTTCCGTAAGGCCCAGAAGCCCTGGCTAAAGAGGCTGAAGGAGGTGAGGCTGAAAGTAGTGGTTATTGGAGGCAGGAGCCTTCCGGGTCTGCACGGGACCAGGGTGTGGCGTCTAGGATCCAGAGCTGGTCTCATGCGTGTTAGGTTGAGGCTTCCAAAAAGAGCTACCACACAGCGCGCAAGGACGAGAAGACAGCCCAGACCCGGGAGAGCCACGCGAAGGCGGACAGTTCCATGTCCCAGGAGCAGCTTCGGAAATTGCAGGAGCGGGTGGGACGCTGCACCAAGGAGGCAGAGAAGGTACGGTCCCCTGGCAAAGCTCTTCCTTGACATGGTTATTTAAAACAGGAGCTTAGGCTGGGCGGTGGGGTACACCCTTTAATACCAGTTCTCAGGAAGCTGAGGCAGGTGGATTTCTATAAGTTTGAGGCCAGCCTGGTCTACATAGAGGCTAGCCCAATTGACATGTAGTTTCAGGCCAACTAAAGCTATGTATTGAGACTCTGTCTCAACAAACAAACAAACAAACAAACAAACACAAAGGAGGAACTTGGGCCTGGGGAGATGGCTTAGTCCTACAGTGACTGTCCTGCAGGTACACAGCTAGGCAAGGCAGCTGAAGTGGAAAAAGGGGAGGTGATGGTAGCAGTGTGTTGGTAATGGACGGGACAGGTGGAGCCCTGGACTTCAATGGCCAGCTTGTCCATGACTGTGAGGAGCTGAGGAAAGCACACTACGATGACCACACCACACACACACACACACACACACCACACCACACACACACACACACACACGCACGCACGCACGCACGCACGCACGCACGCACGCACGCACACACACACACACACACACACACACACACGCACGCGCGCATATGCACAGAGGAACCTGAACAAAGGTGATGTTTTACCCAGGAGACGATCGGCATTTTTTTACCCAGGATGGCGCGGTTTTAGGCAGTTGAGGCCTTAGTTACCTGGGATCAATTCTCATATTGCATGCTCTGTCCCCTTCCCTGAATGCCCTTCCCTCTAGCATCCCATCCCCTCTGAGCCGTGTCATGTCTGTAACACCTCCTCCAAGAAGCCTACTTTGATTTCTCTCACCTTTCCGTGTAGGTTGACCCTGTCTCGTGCTCCAACCAGATTCTTATAGGTGTTTTGCTTGAATGTCAGCTCCCTTGTTAGGCTGTGTCTGTCAGTCCCTGAGGGTAGGGAACGAGTTTCAGGCCTGACTGCCCTGGGTGGCTAGCTCCAAGTCTAGCCTGTGGCCGTGCTCAGTAAATACCGGTGCAGTCCTGAGTGGAAGGCAGTCTGTCGTCTCTCTCTCCTTTCTCTCTCACCCAGATGAAGACCCAGTACGAGCAGACCCTGGCAGAGCTGAACCGCTACACCCCACGCTACATGGAGGACATGGAGCAGGCCTTTGAGAGCTGCCAGGCTGCCGAGCGCCAGAGGCTTCTCTTCTTCAAGGACATGCTGCTCACCTTGCATCAACACCTTGACCTCTCCAGCAGTGACAAGTATGGCCTGCACACTGGATGGAGGGTTCCCCGGACCTCCTTTGGGAATTCTAGGGGCTCGGGCCTTCCCTGTCTGATTGAGTGCCTCATAGGTTCCATGAACTCCATCGAGACCTGCAGCAGGGCATTGAGGCCGCTAGTGATGAGGAAGATCTGCGTTGGTGGCGTGGCACACACGGGCCTGGCATGGCCATGAACTGGCCACAGTTTGAGGCAGGTGTTACAGGCTGGGTGGGACTTGGGGGTGGGTTGGGCTCAGTGTAGGCCCCGAGAAGATGACTGGGTTTAGGATAAGTATGTGAAGGTGGTCCAGATGGCCCTGTTGCCACAGTCCAGCCTGACTCTAGAAACTCTCTCCTCAGGAGTGGTCCTTAGACACACAGAGAGCAATCAGCCGGAAGGAGAAGGGTGGCCGGAGCCCTGACGAGGTGACTCTGACCAGCATTGTAGCTACCAGAGATGGCATCACCGCACCTCCACCCCAGTCCCCAGCGTGCCCAGCATCTCCAGGGTGAGAGCCGGGATCCTGGTCAAAGCAAAGAAACAACTCTATCCCTTGCTTGTTCCTCTCTCTTCCCTCTCTCCCTTCACATCTGCACCTGGTGGCCATCTTGGGAGAGTTAATAAGGCTGTCTCACAGAGGTTTAGATTTACCACGGAGTCCTTACAGTCCCTTATGCTCGGGCTGTATAATAACCCGGTGCACAGAATTGTACCTGCGTTTGCAGTCGTGGGTGGCAGAAGTGTGACTATTCATTTAGCTCCTTCCTATCTGCGTCTTTAGCGTTCCTCCACGTGGCAAAACCTTTGCCTTGAGCTTAATTTGGCCGGTCTTGTCCTCTGAGTTGTCCCTTTGTGTCTCCCTCTCTAGCAGTGGGCAGGATGAGGACTGGTCAGATGAGGAGAGTCCCCGGAAGGCTGCCGCTGGGGTGAGGGTGCGGGCGCTTTATGACTATGCTGGCCAGGAAGCTGACGAGCTGAGCTTCCGAGCAGGTATGCGGGGGTGGGGGGGTCGGGGAACCCTTTCATGTTTCTTCCCATTCCAGCCCGTCCCACCTGCTAGAGCAGGGGTATAGAAAAGGAAAGCCAGAGACTCCCTTCTCATGGGCCGTTCAGGGTCCAGCCAGCTGGGGCCTGACCATTGCTTCCCTGGGGTCCAGGGTTGGGTAGCTTGCTGGCTGTGTTTTATCCTGGTCTGAGCTGGGTTTCCTCCAGGTTGCGATCCCATTCCCCTTGGCCCTTGCGATCCCATCCCGCTAGGCCCTTGACCTAGTTTTGACACAGTGAAGCCAGAGCCTCTGGCGGTGACCAGTCTCTTCCTTCAGGGGAAGAGCTGCTGAAGATGAGCGAAGAGGACGAACAGGGCTGGTGCCAGGGCCAGCTGCAGAGTGGCCGCATCGGTCTCTACCCCGCCAATTATGTGGAGTGCGTGGGTGCCTGAGTGCCCTGACTGCCCTATCACAGCGTCTCTCTATCCTCGGCCAAAGCTCAACCCTTCCTGGACTGCTGGACCTGAGGGCCCTGAACCTGCTGCTGCTGCTGTCCCTCTGACTCCGGAGGAGGGAAGATGTCTTAGGGCCCATGAAGGGCTCTGTGTCCAGAAAGAGGCCGACAGAGTTTAGGTGGAGGGCAGGAAGGGAGGTTGGAGGGACACCGGTGCCTGGGCCTCCCGGGGAGCATTTGGGTCATCCCAGGAGTGGGAATCCAGTCCCTCAACTGTCTGGGAGTTCCTGGGGTGAGGCTGGGGAGAACGTAGTTTGGGGCTAGCAGCACCCTCTTTTGTGACTTGTAGTGTGCATTAAACTTGATCAAGAATAAAAACCCCATCAAGTGTTGTGAGCATCTTTTGATACCCCATTCTTGAAGCTGGTGGGAGTCGTGGGGGAGGTTCGTGGGCCCAGCAGGCGTTATGGAGCTGGGGTTGGGCAGGCATTTGCCTCCTGGTATCTGCCCTGAAATTTCAGGACTGTAATCTGGACTGGAAGGGATTTGAGATCAGGTTTGCTGTGTGCCGGCCCCTGCTCCAGGCCGGCTGCGGGACGGTGAGCTGGGCTGGAGCCCCGCCAGCGTCTTCCCGATGGGACTAGGAGTGCTCGGGTGACAGTTAATCATTACGCATCCATCGGTAACTCATGAGAGGCTGCGGCCCCGGCCTTCCGCCCGTCATCCGCAGCCAGTGGCCCTGAGGTAGGGAGGTCCCGGCGGCCAGCAGGAACTCCCGAGGAAGTTTGGGCCGGCCTACGAGCCGTCGCCCGCTCCGGCTGCCGATTGGCCAGGCGCGGCGCGGCGTTCACTCCCGGGCCCATTGTGGAGCTCCGGCTGCTGACGTCATGGCTCAGTCCTCCCCGGCGCTCATTGGTCCAGATCTGGTCGAATCACCCGGCTCGTAGGGGCACCGGCTTGGCCCGCGCGGTCGGCCCGCCTTCGCCGCCGCGGATTGGCCCGCGGCGGGACCTGTCGGTCGCGGTTGTGTCTGGGAAGGAGAGAAAATGGCGGCGGAGCCGAGCAAGACCGAAATCCAGACTCTGTTTAAGAGGCTTCGAGCGATTCCCACCAACAAGGTGCTTGAGACGGAGGGGCACGGGTCCTGGCGCCGGCGGAGAAGACGTCTCTTGTCCCCTGGGGCCCGAGGGAGGGCGGGGACGGAGGCGGGAGGCTTTCTTGTAGCTTCTAGTGCTGGGCCTCGACTCTGGGCCCTGACCATTCACCTGTCGCCTCTCCCACCTAGGCTTGTTTCGATTGTGGCGCCAAGAGCCCGAGTTGGGCCAGCATCACGTACGGTGTGTTTTTGTGTATTGACTGCTCCGGAGTGCACCGCTCCCTGGGTGTCCACCTCAGCTTTATCAGGTAGGTTGTGTGTGAGGGTGCTGCGCTTCCCCAGGAGCGCTCAGCAAGGGGAGAGAACGTCTCCCCCCGAACCTTTCGGAATTGGGTGTGCGGAGACCTCCTGGCAGGAGTTCTGTTAGCCCAGTGCGGGGGGATCCGCCTCTGTGGGCTTGTAGCCATCGAGTCCTCGCGGTTAACCTGAGACTCAGCGTGAGTGTGGGGAGGGAGACCCGGTTATTGCAGGTAGATGGGCAGTAGGTCTCCAGTGCGACCTGACCACCCTTAGCAAAGAGTGCCTGCACTCCTGAGAAGGCGACCTCCTTTCGGATCTCCGTCTCGGAAATAATTGGTCCCCTTTGGATTAGATGAAGAGCAGAGATTTCAAACTCAGGGAAGAGAGGAGGAAATGAGACAGGGACTGATGGTTTCCTGGACACCCACAGAAGCCTGGCCAAATGACAGGTGTAGGCTTGCCAGGGAAGCATGTTTTGGTGTCAGTGGGTAGGTGACACACAGTCCTTGTGCGCAGGTCCACAGAGTTGGATTCGAACTGGAGCTGGTTGCAGCTGAGGTGTATGCAGGTCGGCGGGAATGCCAATGCGGTAAAGCTTCTTTTCTCCTCCCCCACCCCCATCCTTTGGCCTAGGTACCTGACTTTTCTGTGATTTCCTAGGAGTGAGTGTGTTTTCTCTGTTCAGAGAGTTCTCAGCTCTACCACCGCCATACACAGCTTCTTTCAAAGAGGCTTAAATACCAACTGACCTGGACAGGTGCTCCTGGGAAAAGCCCAGTGGAGTGGAGTCTCCACGGTCAGTTGAGGTTTTGTGGGCTCCTGGAGGGAGGATAGCTGCCGTGGGAACTGCATACTTTCCTCCTAAACTTGATTCCTTGTCTCAGAGGGTGGGAGGTGGCGTGGTGGTTTTTTTTGGAGGAGGGAAGGATGATGTGGATTCAAGAGTGAAGGCGTTGACTGTGTGAGCCTGGCAACCTGAGTTCAGTTCAGGAAACCCACAGAAGGTGGGGGGGGAGGGCCAACTCCACACACGTGCTGTGGTGCACACACAGTGATGAACATGAAAGTGTTGTTGTTGTTTTTAAGTAATTTTAGAAGCCCTTTACCTCTGTGAAAACCTGTTGGGATCAGTAGTGTGTATCCTGTACAAATAATACCCCAACTGTTTAGTAAGTAGTGTCTCCTGTAGTGTGAATACAGTTTTCTTTGTTGAGACTACTTGCACATACATACATGCCACATTCTTTTTTTGCTCTCTAGACTGCTTTTTTCCGCCAACACGGATGTGTGGCCAATGATGCTAACACCAAATATAACAGCCGAGCTGCCCAGATGTACCGAGAGAAGATCCGGCAATTGGGGAGTGCGGCTCTGGCTAGGCATGGCACTGAGGTGAGTGCGTGTTCCCGGCTTAGGGGTGGTGGGTAGGGGTGTTAACAGCCCTGAGTGTTACAGTGTCTCCTTCCTTCCAGCTTTGGATAGACAATGTGAACAGTGCTCCTAGTCACTCTCCAGAGAAGAAAGACTCTGATTTCTTTACAGAGCACACTCAGGTGAGCACCATGGGGTCATTTTCTTTGACAAATGCTTTACTTGCCAAGCCTACACCTTTTTTTTTTTTTTTTTTTTTTTTTTTTTTTTCAAGACAGGGTTTCTTTGTGTAGCTTTTCGCCTTTCCTGGATCTCGCTCTATAGACCAGACTGGCCTTGAACTCACAGAGATCCGGCCTGCCTCTGCCTCCCAGTGCTGGGATTAAAGGCGTGTGCCATCACCGCCCGGCAAGGCTACACCTTTTGTGATCATGACATAATTTCTTTGCTTAGGTACAATATCTCAGACTATCTGTGGTTCAGAATTGTGAATTACTGCCTACTGGGTAGGCCCAGAAGTTTCTTCCTCCTATTTATGAGAGTACAGTGTAATCCTCTTTAGAAATGGAACCTAGTGGTAGAGAACATTTTGAAAGCTCAAGAGGTCTCAGGGACCCTAAACAACTTGTAGATTTTCCAAAAATGAACAGAAGTTGGAGACAATGAGGATTCCCTCTCCTGTGACCCACCTTAAGAGAGGTTTCCACTCTGTTGGCAATGAACATTGAATCAGAGTCTCAGGTCACATCTCAGCATCTCTGCTTGGTATTCCTTTGATGTGGCCCAGTCACTTAACCCAGCAAGACCTCAGTTTCTAAAATGGCAACATAGCTACTTCATAGGGCCTGTCGTGACTAACTGAACCTGTTACATCTGTGAGTACCCTTGGATTGAGCCTGGTGCATAGTTGGTATGTAAGAGTTGTTAATGCTTAATTAGTTAAGAGACTGGCTCGGCTGTAAGGTGAAGATGCTATTTTCCTGCATTTTTCTTCCATGGTGACTACAATTGCTAATCTCCAGTCTTCTCTCATAGCTGGGAGCAGTGCTTCCTGCCCACAGGTAGGTGTAGCTTCTCAGGAGGGCTCACTGAGGTTTCTGGGATCTGGCTTCCTTTTTAGGCCTCTGTCTGGGATACAGCAGCCACTGAGCCTTCAGGGACCCAGCAACCAGCCCCACCTTCAGAGAGCAGTAGCCTGGCACGTGAGTTCAGCCCAGATCTCAACCAAGTGCCTGGGTCTAGAGAAGGACTAGGGTTTAGGACACTTGTCCAAGGACATACAAGTTGGGGGGTTTCCCTGTGTCCTTGCGAGGAATGGGATTCATTTAGTCCTGGAGGAAGGGTGGGCACATATCTTTTGGTGGAAAGCAGAGGAATGCCAACGGACTCTTACCACCTCCTTAATGTAACTCCTGCCATTGAATTCACAGAACCTGAACATGGCCCTACCACCGACCTCCTTGGAACCTCACCCCAAGCCTCTCTGGGTATGACAGCTGGCAGATACGGGGAGGCTGGGAGAGTGAACATCAAGTATGTTCTGAATCTCCGCTGCCTAGTCATGTGAACTGAGCACAGGGGTCTGAGCATGGACCCCTGTTGGGTGGGAACTGGCAGTGAAGTTCTGACTGCCACACTGACTTCAGCGTCTTGGAGCTGGCAAGCCTGGAGGGCTGTCATTTTGAGTGTGAGGGTTGCTCTAGCCAAAGTATGGAAGGCTGGAATGGGATTGGACACCCATCCTGGTGTTAGGCGGGATTGGCCTGTTTTGTCCGTTTCCTGAGGTGTGCTGATAGCTTTGAGCTGCTCGTGGCTAGAAGCAGCACTGTCCTTCCAAAGTTCAGCCCTTTCCTACTCTTCAGTGGCCGTCACACTTGCTTAGGGTAAACAGTCCCTTTGCTGGCCTTGGTTTGTTCTGTTGACTCTTGGGGGTTGGGGCAGGAAGCCAGCGGAATGACGATCCTGGTGACTTTGTGAGAAGGCTTGGCATAGCTTTGAAACAGGCTCTGTATGGGCCTCTGGGTTTGGGAGCTTTCGGAAACTTCTGGGGTGGGCCCTTGTTAGCCACAAGTCTGTTTCTCCTCCAGAGTCCATGTATCTGTCAGCTAAAGGGGCCTCTTCTGCCAGAGGTAACCAGTGCTTTGGAAGCCTGTCCCTGCTTGTCTGCTCCCTGCTCTGGGGTCTGAGGCTGTTCAGCAGCTCCCTACTCAACAGTCTCACCTTGGTCTGGGCACTTTGTCTTTGGTGCTTCAAGTCTGGGCTCTCACTGATCCTTTTTGGGCGTCAGCACGCTCTCCTAACCTTGTCTGTCTTTGGCTTGAACGGTCTTGGTCAGAACTGGTGGTGGCAGTTTTGCCTGCCCATGTGAAGCAATTCTTTTTAGATGCTCTTGCTGTGAAGCCGCATGGTGTGGACTGAGCCACGTTCTCTGACCTTCCTTTGTCCTAGCTCATGCACACCCTCTTCCTCACACAGAACTGAAAAGCTCCATTATTGGCAAGAAGAAGCCAGCGGCAGCTAAGAAAGGGGTAGGTGGGGAGAGCGGTGTCGTAGGGTGGTTGGGAGCTGGAGCTGGACTCCTTCAGTTTGCCCATGTACTACTGGCCAGCTCTGTGA